GCGTGCGATGAATTTTAATGTCGAAATGATACGCAGCAGAGCCGCCACGAAATGTGACGAGAATGAAATAGAAGGCTGGAATAACGCGCTCTGCTCGCTCGTGTATTCCGTGGAGACCTGAATGATAGTCAGCGGCGTTAGAGCGATGTGCCGCTAGTCGTCCATCTTGTCCCAGCGTCGTAGTCACTTCGTCCTCGATCCTGTTGCTCTTCCCGTACGCGCGCTTACGTATTTAACGAAAAAGTTTCTTCGATCTCTCCGAAATTGATGAAACTTTTTTTTTTTTTTTTTGGAACGTTCTTACAATTCTGATCTGATGAGAATTGGTCGATCGATCGATCTATCGATTCCAACTTTTTTTTTTTTCCTCCAGTTACGAAGTTTTATCCTGTCGATTTTCATATTCTTGTAATTTTCTCTGAAAACGTTCGAATATCAAAAATTCGACGATTTATTCCAATTTCAACTCTCGAATCATTGTCATTGCGAACTCTCTCCGAAGAAAGAACTTCGTTAAAAAGTTGCACGGCTCGCAAGGAAAAAACGTATTTCTCCTCGACCCGATAAATTTCTCCGATCGCGAATTCATCAAATCTGAAACAAAAGAGGAACGATCCAAGAACATTGAACACCAGAATCCCCTTAAAAAAAGTTAGTGTGCAATGTGAAAGCCTGGGGTGTGAATGAGAAACCGCCAAAAACCGCAAAGAATAGCAGTTCTGGTTACTCGGTTCTGCCAGTCAACAAGAAGGAACTCTATCCCAGGACGTCGTTCTCGTCGCCTCCTCCCTCCCTTCCCTCCCCTCTAGAGAAGAAGGAGAGTGGAATAGAGGCTCGGCTGCAAGAAGCAGTGCTCACTGGCCCGTTTTAGCTTTCCTCTGTTGGCAAGAGCGACAGCACGGATCGGTAGAGACGCGAGCAGGCGAAAGGAGACGAGAGGGAAAGAGGAGGATCCGTGTGTTGGAGGAGCGGTGGGGGGGGAGGGGAAGGGAGGGAGCCAGTTGCGCGACGGAGAGATAGAGAGAGATAGAGAGAGAGGCGAAGACTCGCTGTCTGTTAGGCGGGCCAGCAGGATCGAGAAGGACGCGTGCTAAGGAACGTGCACGCGTGTAGAAGAGGTACCTGCGCGGCTACACAGTCACAGGCATCCAGCCAGAGTCAAGGCCGCTCACTGCTCCGCCGTGAGAGAGCTACTAACCAGCACGGAAACTTTGCTGCGTATAGAGTATAGAAGGCGAGCGGCCACGTTGAGTCGTATATAGCGGTTGTACAGAGGCTTCTACACTTGCTAGATTGTCCTCTAGATTCTGGAGAAACCGACACTATGCGATCGAGTTTCCTACGTGTCGTTTCTTACTTTTGCTTCTGAGAAGAAATTTTTTCCCCTCTTTTCCCTCGGGCAATAATAAAAATTATTATCGCAATTGAATTTTGTAATTTTTGAGAATTATTATTCGTTCTTTTTTTTTTTTTTTTTAAATATTTTCATGTATATTTTTTTTTGTCAATCGGTTTTATCATTGATATTTTATATATATAGTTTTAGCTATAGGTATTAATCTTCGAGTCGAGTTGTTTTTGCAAGTGCGAAAAGACGATGATTTAGAGTTTTGTTGAAATTTCGAACACTTGTCGGTTTGAACGTTCGTTATAAGTTTTAGAGAAGCGAGAACAGTGAAATTTTCGTGTTACGGGTTTAAAATAAACTTCCAGATGAGTTCACTGCGCCATTGCATGTATGATCGAACTCGTGTGGTATGCTAGTGCCTCAGAGTGCCTCGAAATTCTGTTTAGGAATTCGAGGAAGGAATCTAGAACGTTTGGCATTGTCGAATAAGTAAAGATAGAATTCGATCAAATTTTGCTTGCCATTCAAATTCTAAGCAAGATTTAACCACGAATTACGAATGGAAATCTTATTTGTCCAAGTTCCAACACGAATTTTAAGAGACGGAGAAGGAACTTTAAATAGAGATCGAAGTGTTTTGTACATTTAGGGAAACGGATAAAAAGTCATTGCCACATGTGTGCATGAATTCAAATTGTTTAGTTACACTGAGAGATTCCAGACTCTTTCTTCGAGCCCCTCAGACTATGATTCTCCATCTTGCACTCTATAAATACACAGGCTTGGTGAAAAGAAGTCAGTGTCAAGGTCAGCAGCAAGATAGCTGTAAAGATTCTTGCAGATTATTCATACGGAATGAATCTTTTAAATTTCGATTCCTGATTATACATTTAAATTAGAATTTCTTTTTTTTTTTTAATTACGATAATTTAGAAAAATGAATCAAAATTATATTAAATTTTTATCAAATAATTCGAATATAAATTATAAAACGATTATAAATAAAATTCAAAGACATGAAAAAAAACTTACAATATCGATAAATCGATTGTTTAATTTCTCAAAAAAAAAAAATATATATCGAAGAGGAAAGAAAATTTCATTAAATTTTCAGTAATGATAAATCACGATATTAACTCTAACTTTCGTTAATCATTGCACAAACGTTGAATTATATTTTGATAATATTATTCTGCGTCAGAAACTAGCATGAATACCAACAGCGAGCCAATGTTAAGTAGCAAGGAAACCTGTTTGGGGCATTTGAAATGATGGCCTGCTCGCTCTATATAGAATCGTTATGTACTACTTGCTAATATGTACACAAACCGGCGTAGGTATCAATTTTGTGCCAGTGTCAGGTCGGTACCAATAATTTATTGGCCTTTGGTTTCTCCGATGCAACAGAATCTCTGTCGTCAGAGATTCCAAGAATCTCCAAGTTTCGTTACCAATTTGTGAATCAGAAAAATATTTTGTTCTTAACACGAATCTTAAGACGTAGGAAACGTTAATAACAAATTGGAATTTCTTAGATGATCGATGTTTGTTTGATCAACGTTAACTTAATTTTTATCGAGTCATGCTTACTAAAATGTTGTTTTCGAAATTTTTTTTCGTTCTGAAAACTAAAAATTCGAAAGATAAAAATCTCAATGTAATGCTTAAAAAAGAATTAATTTATAATTATTACGATCTTACTTTTTTTTTTCGAAGATACGAATCTTCGAAAGATCCCGGTTATCGTATCAAGAAAGTTAAGTAATAGGAAAAAATTTAACAAGAATAAACGAAAGTCTCGAAGAGAGCAGAGAAATGGAAAAAGAGAAACGATTGCAAAACTAAAGTCTGCAGAACGATGAAGAAGGGGTAATAACCGAGTGACCATCTAGCCTGGTCACTGTCTCAGTGTTCCAGGCGGATATTTTCACGGTGATCAGTACTTCCGGATGATCCGAGGAACCCGTCTTCGGATTCTTCTTCGCAGAAAGATATATATATATATACGACACACGTTTGCTTTTCTCGAGAGAAATTCAAATCATCATCTTTGCTGAAGCGTCAAGTGATGAGAAATTTAATGACTTCAAAAAGTGATCGTATTTAAACGGAATTTACAATTACAACTTGTGAGCAGCAAGTATATAATCATCCATCAATCGAATAACTTATACTTCTTTGGATGTGTTATTTTAATTTAATAAACTACGATCAGAAATCCGTATCAAATCTTGGAACAGTTACATACTTAGTGACCAACATTGATATAATTTGAATTAAAAATTTCTTTAATGAGATTTTCTTTTTTTTTTTTTTAAGACTCAGAAGTACAGGAAGTATTCTTATTCCTGCAAATTATCG